TTGAGTTGAATAAAATGATTATGCTGTTATATACATAATTTTAAATTATAAAATATCTAGAATTAATTAAGTTATTTATTCTGTTGTTTAATTTTGAAAATAATTATTGTTATTATTTACCTACTGAAAGAAGATATTAAATAAATGTTTTTTGTTATTCTACGATTAGATTCATCTACGTCTTTTCTATTCATTTTAAACTTTTCCAAAAAAACTTTTTGCTTAACTCTAGTAAATTTTATGTAACAAAAACAAGTATATAAAAAAAATATATGAAAACTTTTAACTATCCTAAACCTAGAAGAAATAAGAAAACTTAAAAAATATTTTCAACAAAATTTTATACAAAAACATTTTTTATTCTAAAAAGTTTGAAAAAAAAAAAAAAACAAAGAGGGTTTTTTCCTCAACAAACTTAACTACCCTCTAATAAATATCAAATCATGAAAAAATTAGATAGTTATTCGTTATTGATTTGTAGTAAATATTTTCGATACAAAAGTGATTTTATTAATGTTATTTGTGTATGTAAAAAATTTCAAGAAACATTAGAGAAGTTTAGATACAATCCAATCTCAATATCAAATCTTCATCTTTTTCCTAAAATTCAAACACAATGCCTGTACCATAAAAATGAAATTCGTCTTCCAATGGAAACATATTCATTTTATTATTTCTTAACCTATAAAGAAGCACTTAATCAAATAAAGAATTTTAATAAATGTCATCAAATTGTTTATACTCGTTCAGATCGTGAAGAATTTGGGCTTGACATTCCACAAAATTATGCTATTAAAGCTTTAGGTGATAAATGTTTTGAATCTACTCCAATTCAAAAAATTATCATTCCAAATACTGTTAGAAAAATTGGACAAGAAGCATTTAGTCAATGTACTCAATTAACTCAAATACAACTTCCATGTACATTAAAAGAATTATCAGTTTGTACATTTTTTAATTGTATTGAATTAGAGAAAATTGAAATTCCATCTTCTGTTTCAATTATTGATGGAGCATGTTTCTTTTGTTGTAGTCACTTAACTGAAGTAAATTTCCCACAAAATATTGTATCTATTGGATATGAAAGTTTTGCATTTTGTGCACGATTAAAAGAAGTTGTTATTCAAGGAACATTATATTCATTGTTTAATAAAAGCTTTTTTGGATGTACAGCACTCACTTCAGTACATCTTCCAGACACTGTAAAATTTATATCTGACTCATGTTTTGAAAATTGTAGTAGTTTACAAAGTATTAATATTCCATCTTCAGTAGTTATGATTAATCAAAAAGTATTTAAAAATTGTACATCTTTAAAAGAAATAGAAACTCCACCTTCAGTAGATTATATTGGAGAACGATGTTTTGAAAATTGTTATTCATTAACACGTTTAAAAATAGCAGATACTACAGTAAATATATCTTGTAATTGTTTTTTGAATTGTACTAGTCTTCAAACATTAGAAGTTCCATTAAAAAATAACGAATATCCATTTGATGTGTCTTATTATGACAAACAAATATTAGAAAAGTTTGGTATTAATTGTGTTCATATTAATTTTTTTAGTAGTGGTTCAGTATTAACATATAACCCATTAACTCATGAACCTAAAATACCTGATGATGCTTTAATTATTGGTAAAGATTGTTTTAAAAATATTAGAGAAATTCATTCTATATGTATTCCAACAAATATAGTTATTATTGATTCAAATGCTTTTGTTGGATCTTTTATTACGTCTATTTATATTCCTACGTCAGTTACATATATTATTTCTGGAGCATTTAGTGATTGTATTAGATTAAAAGAAATTCAATTACCATCATCAATTTCAAGTATTGGTAGTAAGTTATTTATGAATTGTTCTGCTTTAACTTCTATTACAATCCCTTCAACAATTACTTCAATTAATGCAAGTGCCTTTGAATTTTGTATAAATTTAAGTACTATTTCTCTTCCACCTCATTTAGTTAAACTTAAAAAGAATGCATTTTCTGGTTGTGTTCAATTAAAAGAAATACTTTTACCTTCTTCTTTAAAGTGTATTGAAGAAAAATGTTTTTCTGATTGTCATAGTTTAACATTTGTTTCAATTCCAACAACAGTTACATATATTGGAAAAGATATTTGTTTAAATTGTAGAAGTCTTAAAAATCTTATTATTCCATTAGAAAAAGATTTGTCATATAAATATAAAGTAAGTTATCAACAGTATCAAATATTTTCTTCATTAAATATTCGGTGTACAAATATCCAGTTTACTGATCAGGACTATTTACATAGAAGAAATAATAACATAGATACTATTATTCCAACTGATGTTGACCTTCATATATCTAAATTATGTTTTTCTAAATTAGTTGAAAATAGTTTTATTCTTCCACCAAATGTTATCTCTCTTGGAAAGTCTTGTTTTCAATCGTCTTGTAATATAACTTCAATTACACTTTCTACAAATATTACTAAAATAAAGTCTTATGCATTTAATGGTTGTTCATCTCTTAAAAATTTAATAATTCCATCTTCTGTTCAATATATAGGAAAGTATTGTTTTAAAAATTGTGATAGTTTAACGTCACTCTCTCTTCCAACAAATTTACTTCCATATACTTCATTAGTAAGTTATTCTGAATATCTTTTATTAAAAAGAAATAATATTAAATGTCTTAATATTGCACAAGTAAATGACGATGATATTTATGACTCAAAATACTTACCTTCAGAAATCCAAACATTAAATAATACTTATTTTGATTTTTCTTCAAAGGAACTTATTGTTCCTTCTCATATTACCAAAATAAAAGTTGGTGTTTTTTGTGATTGTTTTCAAATGTCTAAAATTCAAATTCCTTCAAGTGTTGTTTCAATTAAAAGAAATACTTTTTCTAATTGTCCTTCATTAAAAAGTATTGAATTACCTCCTTATCTTAAAAAATTATCATCTTCATTATTTTATTATTGTATTTCTTTAAAATCTATTGAAATTCCATCTAAAATAACAAAATTATCTAATAATGTTTTTGCTGAATGTCATTCATTAAGTCAAATTCATTTTCCAAATCAATTAAAAAAGATTAAAGGATGTTGTTTCTTTAATTGTAAAAATCTTTCTTCAATAACTATTCCATCTTCAGTTACAAAATTAGGAAAAAGATGTTTTGATTTTTGTCTTGGTCTTCAAAAATTTAATTTTGAAGAACAGTGTCAAATTAAAAAGATTCCCGAAAATTGTTTTAGAATGTGTGATAAATTAGTATCATTTAATATTCCATCTTCTATTGAAATTTTAGATAGTTCATGTTTTTATAAATGCTTTGGATTAACATCTATTCATATTCCTTCTAATGTTAAATCAATTGGACAATGTTGCTTTAAAAGATGTTATTTTTTAAAAGAAGTAATTTGTGACCAAATTCAAGAAATTGATAAAGATTGCTTTAGTTATTGTTCTAGACTAGAATCAGTAATTCTTCCTTCTTCATTAAAAAAAATTGGACAAACTGCATTTAGTTATTGTTCTGCTTTAAAAGAAATTTGTATTCCTGATTCAGTTGAATTTATTGGAGGATTATGTTTTATTGGATGTAAACAATTAACAAGAATAACATTATCGTCACGACTAACGTCACTTTCATATGACTGTTTTACTAATTGTAATTCTTTACGTTCAATCATTATTAATAATACTCCTATTTCAAATTATCCATTTAATGTATCATTACTTCAATATATATATTTCTCAAAAAATAAAATTCCTTGTTACAATATTACTCTCTCTCAAAATGAAATGTTTTTACTTTCTACAAATATCCCTCACTTAGTAAATTGTTTTAATGATAATTGTTTTAGAAATTCTGTTAATTTAATAAATATTTCAATACCTTCTTCAGTTACTTCTCTTGGAGAATATTGCTTTAAAAATTGTATTAATCTAACAAGTATTACCATACCTTCTTCTATTTCTTCTATTCCTTCTCATTGTTTTGATAGTTGCTCCAATTTAAAATCAATAATACTTCCTTCTACAATAACTTCATTTGGAAATCATAGCTTCTATGGATGTTCTCAACTACAGTCTCTAAAATTAATCCCTAAAGAATGTTTTGAATAACTTGTTGATTTTTCTTTAAATGTTTAACATTTTAAATTAAATAAAAAAAAAATAGTAGTTAATTATATCCTAATGGTTGAGTTTTTATCTATTTGAGAAGTGAATGATGTAAATTTTTCAACCTGTTTTATTTTTATTGAATCAATTTTTTTTCAAACATTATCAAGTTAATTATTCTTCATCTAAGTTGCTACTTGGTTTTTATTTTGAATTTGATGAATTTTAAAACATTTATTTTTCTTATTTTATGATGATATATTAATAACACAATAATTATTTTTCAACTGATTTGAATATTAATAATCGTTAGTAGAATCATATTTTTCTTGTAATACAAAAACGTTCAATTCAAAATTATCATTATTAAATATACTTTTCTTGTTAATAGATAATACCAGTATCATAAATAATAATAACCAAATAGTCTTGAATAGGTATTATCTCACTAAAAAATATCTTTATAACTAAATGATACTTGATAGGCTAATGCTTTTTTTTATTTTAATGTTGTAAGTAGTGTTTCTGACGTGTCATTTTCGAATCTTATTCAAGGTTTTAATTTAAATAAAAAGGAGTAAAGATAAAGTATTTTTTCAGTAGAACAGAAGATCAATAAATCTTCTTAAATTAAAAATATACTTTTTATATTAAATATATTTAATTTAATTAATTTTTTCTTAATAAGGAAAAGAAGAAATAAATTTTTGGTTTAAAAATAACATGAAAAAATTAAAAATAGGTTTTTATTCTTTTTAAAGAGGGATTTTAATTAGTTTTTCAATAAAAAGAAAATAATAATAAATTAAATCTAAATGAGGAAATTTAAATTGAATACGTAATCAACCCTTTTAAAGTCTTTTAAACTAATTATTTTCATATTAAGATTGTATGGGAGGAAAACCATCAAAACAAGAAGAACAAAAGAAAGAATATACTGGAGATCCTAATGGAACTTTATATTATTCCATCTCTGGTAATGAATTATCAGAGATGATTACTAATAAAAAAGATGAAACATTCCTCCAATTAGGAGGTGCTAATGGAATTGCTAAATTACTTGAAACTGATGTAGACAAAGGAATTTGTGATGAATCATACAGTAAAAGACAAGAACAATTTGGAAAGAACAGAACACCAGACCCTGTTCTTGTTCCATTTTGGAAAATTTGGTTTGAAGCACTTCAAGATAAAACACTTATTATTCTTATTATTGCTGCAATTGTGTCATTAATATTAGCATTTGTTGTTCCAAATTCTACAGACAAGTGTTTAGCTAATGGAACAGAAGAAGAAAAAGAATTTAATACAGATTGGATTGAAGGACTTGCTATTTTAGCTGCTGTATTAGTTGCTTCACTTGGAGCATCTATTTCTGATTATTCTAAACAAAAGAAGTTTTTAGCTCTTTCTAAAGATGAAAAAGATGTAAAAATTAAAGTTATCAGAAATGGTGAACAACAACAAATTTCTATTTTTGATTTATGTGTTGGAGATATAGTTAATTTGGATGTTGGAGATCTTCTTCCAGCTGATGGAGTTTTTGTTCATGGTAATGATCTTAGACTTGATGAATCTGATATGACAGGAGAGTCAGTTGCTGTTAAAAAATCTGAAAAAAGTTTCTATATGATGTCAGGAACAAAAGTTACAGATGGAAATGGAAAAATGCTTGTTGTTGCAGTTGGA